TTTTTTAGATCGAGTGCACTACCTGTGTGTGTTTCCATCACCTGCACGTCCTGGCTCCGCGTCCCCATTCATACACCTTTGTATATACTTTGTCCTTGTAAATACCCCCCCTCACTGTAAATAAACTGTCTTCACCGCAACTCTGCCTCTGTGCGTTCTGCTCCCTGGGTCCATTTGCATTTGCCATAACAACTGTATTAACACAATTGATCGAAAATCAGACAAAAAACATAAAATCATAGTTAAAAAAAAGTTATATTTTACTGTAACAACCACAAACATGTTTATAAATTGTCAATTTTAAAATCATACGCACAAGTTTTGCAAACAAAGTTATTTGCAGCCATTTACCTTTTACCCTTTTTTTTTTTTAAATAACCATTTCAAACTATTTACATAACAATCAGCTGTTCCACATTCAATAAGATGCCACACAAATTATTTGTGCCACTCCAATAAAGGAGAACATCACAGCCTGATACCTGCAGCTCTGACAGGTCTCTCTCTCTCTCTCTCTCTCTCTCTCTCTCTCTCTCTCTTAAAACTTCCCCCTCTTCCTAAACAACCAAATGTCATGTTGCCATATCATTTTTGATTGGTCGACATGGTGCAGAGAGTGCTTGCTAGCGCTGTCCTTAGACGTTAAACGTGGCAAAACTATTGAGGAAAAAACACCGCGTATATATTGTTTATCATGACTCTGGTTTTAGTGGCCTATCAACACAATTTAAAAACTGGTATATATCACCTTGTTGCTTTGTCATCTTAAAGTGGTCATGTGATTGGCTTACCACGACTACTTTGTTCTTCCTCAGTCAAACAGCAGCACTCATGCGATTGTTTTACCCCCTTTGCTCCAGGTGTTGTGCCAAAAAGTGATCGCCGCCCGCGGGAGCGTGCGCAGCTGCTTAAAGCTGTAGCGCCCAGATTACTTACATAGACAGCTACTTCTGTGCAACTGATATAAAATGCTGTAAACTGAAGTCTGTTTGTTGATGTTTGTTGAAAAATAGTAACGCGACCGCACCGCATTTTCTTGTTAGTAACTGTAATGGCATTGTAACAATAGAAATAGTAATTAGTTAGATTACTTGTTACTGAAAAAAGTAACGCCGTTACTTGTAACGCCGTTATTCTTATCACTGACCATAACAGACAGTATTGGACAAAAGGAAGAAAAAAATTCCAAGTCCTTATTTGGGACCAGGCATTTGGGTCTTTAAGACTCCCTTCAAGCCTTCTGCATCAATAAATGAAGTGAAAACAAACATAGAAAAACATCTAGTTATATCAAGGCACATCAGTGTGAGGCTTTTACTTTATTTGTCTGTTATTGCTATAACAGGTTGACAAGCACCCATCACATCACATGACAGATATACGGCATGATGAAGTTTCAAGCTGTTACCTCATGCTGCTATTTGGGGCCGCAGCAGGCAGAGACGCTTCAGACTCTGTAAGAGCTTCTGGATTGCCGGCAGAGCAGCGGGCTATCTTAAATGTAGTATATGTGGCTTTGCTCCACGCTCTATCTCACTGACTGTAAATTGTCCACTAATGTTCTACACTCTCATTATCCTCTTCACTAGCTCAAAATGTGCATCATCTGTTCACTCATTTGTCTTTCTGTCAATCTGTCTGGCTTATCCACATGCACCTTTAATCATGTGTCCATTACAAGAGGCTCTGTTTTCGCAACGTATCAGATTTATAACGATGTCAGTGAAGCGTCAGTAGCAGATGCACCATTACCAGGGTAATGCGGTAGCGGGATCTGAGACACAAAGCTACAGCCTCACTTGATCCTCTATGAGGTACGTGCAGTCATATAATGGTACATTTGCTATAGCCGTGCATAAGAGCTTAAGCCTCGAGGCTGTCTCTGTGGAAAACTGTGTTGTTATTCTGCAAACCAGATGGCTTTTTACTCCACAAACGGCGCGAGTAAAGACAGACAGTCGAAAAAATCATTTAAGCATTTTAGAATCAGAGTTAATTTCCATCCTTCACATTTCCATTGGTAAAAAAAACAGCAAAAGCGACACTCTGGGGTCCACTTGTAAAGTTTTCACACAGAAACACAAACACAAATGATTGGTCGCACATATTTGCTGAAAACAAAACTAATCTCACCTCTGTTTTCAGGCTAACTGGTACTCTCCAACACTCAACTTCAAAAAGGCTTGAAATATTCTATTACCTGTTTGAAAGTTCATAACTTCAACATAGAGGCAGGAGAGCAGAGCAAATAACCCACAAACTTTGGTGAAATTGACGATAATGACAGTGCAGATGCTGAAGACACAGACAGGCTTGAATCCTGAAGCTAGATTTCCTTAATTTTGACTTACAGCAGATCAGCAGGTGCATACTAACTGTGGCAGACTGGTGCACAGTAATGTTGGCCTTGCACTCACATGTAGAAGAACAACTCTACTCTGATGTAACCGAATTATAGAAACTGAGGTACAAGTGGATCGTTGGCCCACTGGAATCCTGAAGTGTCTTGATGGTTCAGGTTATGACCATGCCTCTGCCACTGTGGAAGCTAAAGTGGAGAGCAAAATACGATCAAGTCTTACTTTAGGACTATTGTTTATTCTAACCAAATGCCAAAATGTTCTGTTTATTCACTGGAATGTCATCATTTGATAATTATAACCATGGAAATACAGCGAAATCACAGAATTCCATGTGACTCACACATACAGTCAATCACTCAACTCATTACGTTTATAAAACACACCCGTCCACAGAATCAATTATCAGTTTCTTCCATTGCAACCTGTCCACCAACTCTGGGAAGACCAGAGAGCTGTCCAAGGACATCTGGGACAAGGTTTGTAGTATGACCCAAAGAACACCATCGCAACAGTCAAGGTGCAAACTTTATGCTGCGAGGCTGTTTTTCTGTTAAGGGCGCATAATGGCTTCACCACACAGGAAGGCCAATGGATTTGACCATTTACCTTAAACTCTTGGATGAAAACTTGCTTCCCTCAGTCAGAACCCTGAAAATGGGTCATGGATGGGTCTTCCAGCATGACAATGACCCAAAACATACCACCAAGGCACATTGTGTGTGTTTGGGATCACTGCCATGCTGAAAACTTGAAAGCATATCAGATGCTTTCCAGCTGGTATTGCTCTGTAGATCGAAATCTGCATGACAAATTTGGAAATCACTACAGTTTAACCAGGTGGGTATTTTTAAAGTGCGTGCTGCTGATTTATATACTCTAGACAAACTATAGTAATCCAATTGCTTTAATTTACTGCGCAAGGTGGTCTGTGGTGTATCAGGAAAAATGAGTATTAGTCAGTTCTTGTGTTTACCTGACTTTATGTAGATGACTCAAAGTGAGGTTTTGAAAGCACAGAAGGTAAAAAATGTACCAATATACCAAAGTCTGTTCAGGGTTTTTGTTTGTTTGATTTTTAAATAACCTTGGACGTGTGAAATTTAATGAACAGACCCACAAAATCAAATTTAGATGTACCATCTCGAATCAGCCCAACCTTCATGACTCGGTATACAGGCGCACTTCTCTGAGAGTTTTAAAGTTTGATATTCTTTAAAGAACTGAGTCCATCAGGAAAGTGAAAGGTGCAGGGTGGCGTTTCCTGTCATCACACGCAGTGAACAAGCTCTCGATGCTTTACATTGTTACAGTGAATATAGTATAAATTCACAGTATTTAGTGGAACTAACATACAAAATACTTGATTGTTTCTTTAACATATCACAGAGAAAGAATCTGTGTCTGACACTTGCTGACACTCGGTATCATCGCAACACAAGGATCAGCTTGTTTGAACACTTTGCTGAAGCTACATGAAGTTAAACATTCAAACTCACGCTGCTATATTTTTATGGCTGCAACAGTACATCAAATGGAAATACTCTGGATGTTTTGTGCACGTCTCCCTCGTAATTCTGTCTGACACGCAGTCTCTCTTATCGCCACTGGAATTTCAAATCAGTTCTGTGGTTTGGAATAAAACTCAACAGCAGAGCTGGGAATCCAGCACAGTAACCGTCAAGCTATTGTTGGATCTTTGCACACAGGTGAAACTGTAAAATGAGGCTTTTTTCTGTGTGTGATTTAAATTGAAGCTTTTGTTACCATTTCACTTTGAAGCTTTGTCGCCATTTAATTTTTGCAGTTCAGTTTCAGGGATCTTACACAATTATTCACACAGAAGCTTTACAATCTTTTTCCTTTTAAATAAAGAAAAAAATCAAAAGAAGAGATGCCATGCACTGAAAACCTCTGATGATTATTCTTGTTTGTGCAGCACGAGTTATGGTGAGCAATTACATTCAGTTTTCGGCAAACTTCAGAAAATTGGTTTCCATCTAGTCTGAGACTTGGCTCAATTACAGAAAATTAAGAGATTCTTCATTTTTGTTTTCATGCTATTAACCGTCAAAATTCTCTCCAAACAAAAATGTGCTTCTGTCCCAGCTTCTGAATTTTTAAGTTGACTGTTGAGACTCTTTTTCCGACATTACATACACCCCATTTCCTAAAAGGCATCTGCAAATATTACATCAGACTAGAGTCTGAAATGAGGCTAGTGATTTAAGTTAGGCTACACTTGTAACAAGGCTGGTCGAGGTAATTTGCCGGATAAGACCACCAGCTCCACTGGCAGTGATTAGTGACTTTCATGTGAGGGATTTCTGATGCCCACAGACATTAAAACCAACCGAGGACATTGCTGTTAAGGCTCGCCAATTAACAGATCTTTCTTTCCCTTTCCTTTTTTTTTCAGGCTGTGAATGTTTCATTAATTCACATTATGAGAACTTTGTGAAAATTGGTTTCACTTATTCCTGCAAACAGAGCTGGGAGCAGCTCAAACCCCGGTATTAAAAACATCAGAAGTATATAGAACCGCGTTCGGTCCCCTTTGACCAATTTGTTGTGTCAGGCTCTGCTCTGCTTGAGGCTTTTCTGAAAATGTCATGAGCTCATGTAGTGTGATAAGCTTACCTCCATAATGAACTCTCGGTCACGCTGTTGAGGTTGAAGTCAAATAGTTTGGTCAGCATCAGAATCACCTGCAAAACAAAAAAGAGCGTTGCAATTAGTGGCCTATGCAGACTTATTAATCCAGTGAGTGGTGGCGTGTCAAACGGCAGCAGCGTGACACCAACGCTTTGAGGAAGAATACAGTTTGGCAGAAGCCATAAGTCATACCCCCTCCACCAAGTGAGCCTCAGACACTAATTTTTATGTATACTGAAACACAGGTTTTTGTTGTGACTGTATAACATAGACCTGACACAGAAAAAGTCCTGGTGTGTTCTTTCTATGCCTTCAAAACCAAGTTTACCTGCTGTGCAGCCTGCCTTGAGTTTTGGGTGCGTTATGCTAGCAGATGCTAATGTAGACTCATGCTGATGAGCGTTAGTTAGCTCAGTTCAGACTACAGTGGCATCATTTGAGGACAGCTCACTCTTCTGGTGTTTACTTTCCTAAAGAGCAGGAAAAGTTGGGAGTCTCCACTTCTGCTCAAGAGGTTCAGGAGAGCGAGCAGTGAAAAAAACAGCAGTGAACGCAAGCTCTCTGCAGCTTTTCAGAAAATACACATGAATCTGTTTCTTTTCACATAGTGGCTAAAAGCAAATACTCAATCTGACCAGGATGTTTTGCAAACAGCGCTACTGATTTCCATACCTGCTTCTACATTTATTCAAATGGGATTTTGGGACTACCAGCAACACATGTACAGCCAAACACAGCTTTTGCATGTTGTGTTGGTTAGCAGTTTGACTTTATAGGTTGGACGGTGTGCTCAGGAGATTGTGATTGCGATCTTTTCTCACTCACTTCCTGTTGTGCCATTTGTCTCCCGCAGATGTGGCTTGAAATCGGTTTAAATTAGAAGAGGAAAGCAGGGAGTTTCTCCACAGAGCCCATGCTATCTAAACTACTCCAGCCAATAGTATGATTAACTGCTATCACTAAATCACTTTATCAGAGCATTTCCAAAATTAAATCCATCCATCCATTTTCTGCCATTTATCCAGGTTTGGGTCAGAGGAGCAGCAGTCTAATCTCCACCACCTCCTCCAGCTCTCGTGAGATACTGACGCATTCTCAAGTCAGCAGAGAGACATAATCTCTCCAGTGTGTCCTCAGCCTGCCTCATGAGGTCTGCTTTTAGCAGAACTTTTCCGAAACACCTCACCGCCTTTTTTTGCCCTGACTACCTAACTGGCCCCTTGCAAGCCAGCCTGAGCCCCGACCCCCTTAAGAGGACACTAATTTATAATAATAATGGATTGCATTTATATAGCGCTTTTCGAGACCCTCAAAGCGCTTTACAATTTCTGTCACTTATGACCCTGATCGTCTTTGTTCAGTCACTAGCAGCTGGTAAAGGTTGAATCATAAGTAAATTAAGAGCTCTGTGTTCATGCATAGCTTTGTTTTTCCCACAGCAGGCAGCTAAAATATCAGCATCACTGTTCATTCTCTTTGTGGAATAACCACAAGACACCTGATCTCCTTCACCTGACGCAGTCACTCATCACCAAGCCAAAGTTGTGACTTGTCTGCAAACCTCATCCTAGCCATCACAAACAGTGAAGCCAACCATAACTAAATTATATTTCTCTAGCGTGTCCTCAGTCTGCTTCATGAGCTCTGCAGACGTCTCGTGTTTCCTGTATTTCCTTATGAACAGAACTGGGAACAAAGGGCAGCCCTGGTGAAATCCAACGGCAAGTGTGCGCAAGAGTCTGACTCCCTGAGCAGCCCTCAGAGCACAGCACACCCCAAGAGACGTGGCCTCCAAGTGCATACAACAAACTCCAGCACGTTATTTGTCCCATCATGGACGATGAAGATTCTTTTTCACTGTAGCCTTGAAACAATAACCGAAACTCGGAGTTTTGTTTTCATGAGATTCTTTGTGAAACACGGGGCGTTGGAAGCGTACATTTAAATGTAATTTAATTTCAACACCACCCATATGTGTGAGCAGCTTCTTCTGTACACGCTGCAGTTGCTTAGCATGATCGTATCTAATTGTTTCAAAGTCATTACTTAATCGCATAAGGCTGATTCTAAATGCCATAAATATTCCTTATTCCGCTCAGACCCCGAAGGTGCCAGCAATGAAGAAAAGTGGGTCAGCTAAAGTCTGGGGGGAAAAACAGATTGTGAGTTTCCGTGCTGCTTTACTTCTTTTACCCTTTGAGCAAAATGTGATGTTTCTGCCTCTGTTTACTTTGTGACTGGAGGTATATTTGAAATGGATAAAGCTCAGAAGAGGCAGGAAAATGTTCTCAGGGAGCGCTGCAGTTTCACTTTAATATACTCTGTTTTCTAACAGTTATGCTGAGTCCTTCCTTTTCCATGCCGTTTCCTTTTGATAAAGCTGTGTATTTTGCCGTGACCTTTCCATTATCAGATAACCCCTATGCATTGTGGGTAACTCAGGGCGCAGCAGTCTAGTTATATGAGGTGGGCGACTCTACCGGTTGTGTATATCTAAATATCTATTCACGTAGTGCATTGTTTGCGACGGCCTGGTTCATCCTTATCTCTGACTTTGCTGTCAGGGATATGTGTTGCTTCCCACTGCACACGCTAACATAAAGAACTTAAATCTGTGTAGTTTATACTTGTTGCCTTTAAGACGTACCACACTGTGCTAGACCAACATCCAGCTGATTCCCCTCGGCCTGACTGCCTTTGATACCTCCGCACTGCCTGTTACGGAGGCAGCAGCTGAACCGCCGAATGACTTGTGTGACTTTGTGAAACAGCTCCACCAGCATGGGGTTCCTGTGAGTACAAGCAGAACAGATGCACCTTGGGTAGCAGAATTACATTGCGAGGTTGGGGCTCCTGTGATCAGGCTTATTAAGTATGCGCTAACATCTGCAGCCCCTGAAACACTCGAAACGTGCGGTGCACTTGGCCGACCCGCAGCTGGCGGGGTTTCGGAGTCGAGGATGTGTTGTGGAAAATAACCGTCAGGACAACAACTAGTAAAAAGGCATTGATTAAGAGCGGTTCAGGAAGTGGCTGGCTGTTTTCAGTGTGGGGAGAATTGGCCCGGGGAATGAATAACCTTAAATGTCCGGACTAGACCTTTGCATGCTAATGACTGACCAAGTCCATTTAGCTGCCCAGCTGGAGGCTGAATTCACAGCCGCGCCACACAGTTTCGTTCTTTCTCTCTACTCGCTCTCTTTATTTCCTTTCGTCTTCACTTCCCAACACTGTTTCTGTGTAGGAGAGGGAGAGAAGGGGGGAGGTGAAGGTGAGGGTAATGATGCAATTATGTTTTTAACATCTCTGAGCCACTTTGCTGCATGCTTGTGTACGCGCCTGGTTTCTGGGGGAGGTGAAGCAGTTAAGCTTTTACATCCCTAAGTTGTCCCTTGTGACTTGTGTACATGTTTGCGCATGCATATTTGTGTGTGTACATGCTGTGAAAGGTAGAGCTCTGAACTCTGGATGGAGTAGTAGCCCGATGACTTGGCTGCATTAGTTGAAGGGCAGCGTGCGTACAGGCCCTTCTGTCTGCCACATATGGAGACTGTGTGGGCTGCCATCAGCGAGCGGCCCTGTCAGATGGGCTCCCACTGGAAAGTGCATATGCTCCATCACTGCCTGTGCCAATTAGGCCTGTGGGCTTCTCCTACTGTAAATACTACGATGAGGCAAGTCTCTTCTCCATCAAGGCCAGAAGAAACCACCTCTGCACAGACACGCACTAACTTCTGACAGTTTGGAGAAGTGCAGAAGAGCATGAAGGCATCAGAAGGAGATGGGACATAGCTGGTGTTACAGCAGGAATCAATGATTAGGAAAAAGCTTTAAAACAAGCTTCATGCAGGCTCACGCTCACGCCTTTGCAAAATACTGTATCGTATCTCTTACAATGTCGGTGTATATTCGTTTGGACAGGCGGCGGTGTCACAAATGTACAGTATGTGTCCCATACGACAACTGGAATGTTGTCCACTGATGAAACAGTTGCTGCCATATGTCAAGAATATACAATAATGTGGCTTCAGGATCACCAGCCGTCCCTGCCTGCCCGACTCGAGATAACAAGACAAACAGAAACGGCATTGTTATGGTGGGCGCTAAAGCTAAAGCAGCAAGCTGTAACTTTTGCTCACTGAAACTAAAACAAGAACAACAGCTAAGCTAATGTCACGGGCATGACGCTGCTCAGCTTGTTGCTGTTGACTGAGCAGAGGTGTTTTGTTCGTTAGGCCACTTAACACTGACCTATGAACCTGTCAAGCATTAATAAGCACCTGGTTCATCAAGGGATGAACCAGTGTTGTGTCTACATGTAACAGACCACTTAGCAAAGAGCCGATTTTGCAGCACCTCATTTGTTCTCATTTCTTTTGTTGAATCTATGCCAAGGAAATGCAACAGTTTGACAGGCACAAAATAGTGTTTTTGCACCAAGAAGGTGATTCCCAGAGTGCTATTAGCCTAAAAACTGGCACATCTCAGTACAGTGTGCAGTACGTCCTGTGTGGACCAAAAATAAACCTATACCCAGGGAACAGTATCTGAAAGCCATATCCTTAAGAAACAGGGAAGAAAATCCAAATATGCAGCTTCAAAATTGTTGTGAGTATGTATGTAGGAGGTCAGCAGAGAGTGTCTGCAGCTATTTGTAAAACAAAGAGCTCTGAAGCTCCTTCAAGAGTCCTGGAAAACTGAAGACTTTTAAAGAAATAACAATAACAATTTGGTGTTGAACAATAAAGGTGTTCGTACCAAATACTGACTTCTCATTAGAACTGTAGAAACTGTGTAGGTTTGCATATATTTCCTCTTCTGTTTCATCAGCATTAGATATCATATAGCACAAAGGGGATGAGACTAAGCAAACAGATGTGTCCGTTTTCAAACGGCATCACTGCAGTTTCCAAGAGGTTACACTTTTACTTCAGCTCAGGGCTGTTTCTTTGGCCACAATCAAACCATCAAAATTTAATTCATCCTTTGCTCAAGTCCCAAAATTGCGATAAACTCGACAAGCTTCCACTGAAGGACAAAGTTCAAAGAAAGA